CTGAAAAATATAAGAAAAATCGACGACTTGAATAAGGCAATTAAACAGCAAATGCTTTTTCTCAAAGACCAACCGGCTTGAAATTACGTTTCAGATCTTCTAATTACTACATTCAGACGGTCGCAAGGGCGAATCAAATTATAGACGAACAGGAATAATTTTCTTCGCTATGCAAAGTTCTTAAATATAAAGGAATATTAATTATTTTGGAAAGTAGTAATTATTTATTTTGAATAAAAATATTACTTCTATATGTTTCGTAATTTAAAAAAGAGGCAAGTTTAAATTGATTTTAAAATGATTAAATTAATGCTAAATATTAAAAAATAATCAATTTTATTTAAATAAATTAATAAAAATTTATTTAAAGTTATAGAAATCTGTAACTGATTTGTAGAATAAGTTGCCTATACATTTTTAATTTAATTTTTTATAACTTAAATAAATTCGATGTTTTTGAAGCAACGTATATATTTCAAGTTTTTAATGATTAAATATTAATTAATAATATAATTTAGAACAGTTATTATCTCTAAAAATAAGTATGAAATTAATTTTAAATTACATAGTGTAGGATAAGTTGCCAATATTCAAATTTATGTCATTGTTTAAAATTAATTTAATTTTTATAATCAAATACCTATCAAGTTCATATGTGAGGAGAAAAAATATTTACACATATATTTTTTGATGATTTTTGATTCACACAATTAAAAATTTTTCATTCTCTTATAAATTATTATTATTATTGACCATTATGCAATTATATAGATTAAAATAATGGTACTAATTTTCATTTATGTACTAAGCGAAGAATTGGCATAGTGCACTTTCAGCATGCACAAGGCACATTCAGCTTGACAGTGTGGTACCTAAGAGGCCAAAATTATAATACAAAAAAGAAACGGGCTACAATGAATTCAAATTCTTTATTCAATGAGGTCATTTGAATCAGATGAAGATGTGTCATCTTGAATTTTCTTTTGCCATTTCTTTTCTTTACTTACTTTCTTTTGAGTGTTTAATTTTGGCACCACTTTTTTTCTGATTTCTTACTTTTTGTTGAAAAGACTTGTCTTGTAGCATTTTTCTTAGCTTGTTTAAACATTTTCTCCCTTTCAATGTCTTCAGTTCGTTCCTTTTCTAGTGTGTCATTTCATACAATTTTGCCTGAAGAATTATATAAAATCGCTTAATCAATATTTTGTCGACACCGGTAATTTCTGCCGAAGAAGAAGCATTACAAAAAAATCTTCTAGCAGTATTTAAATCGTTTGTATTACTACTTATTTGCTTTGGCTTATCAATAATTAAACCAAGCTCTTTGTGGAACCAAAGCTTTGTTATCTTTTTTTAATTGTTTATTTTCTTCGGTAGTAGCTAACCACTTTCGGAAGGATAGATTATATATGTGTAAAATCATCGCCATGCAACGTATCCAGGCATGTAGCGTTGACAAACCATAGCGAAATGCATTATTATTTTCTGGTCCTTTTCTAAATTATTCATTTGCCGTGGATTAGCACCGCAAATAGTACATGTCAAACATGAAGGTGTACCTGTTATTATTTGGGCAACTTTTCCATCTATCATAGTGAAAAACATGTTTGATTTGTATTACTTTTCCTTGCTTTGTAATTACCGATGGACTCAAACTATCAATTTGACTTTGTATAGGGGAAGGTAGGGCAAGACGGGGTACTTAAGCACTTAAAAATTTTTTGTAGTCGTAAGAAATGCTCAATACAAATACAAGGTAATGTAATTAAAACTTCAGTATTTCCGAAGTTAATTTCAAAAATTAGGACTAAAAAAAAATTAGTATTTATGGTAGGAAAAAATTTTTTTTCAGGGTTTTTCAAGTACCCCATCTTGCCCTATAGTGAGGGTAAGATGGGGTGGCTCAATAATTGGAAATGCATAGGTTTTTAAATTACAGATTTATTCAAATACAAAAAACTTATTTCAATAATTAAAAAAAATCTTGACATTGTTTGAAAAAAATGTTCAAAAGGATAAATACTTTAGTCGCAAGTAACATTTAGTTTGTATCATCTGAAAAGTTACGGATTTATTATTCAGTTCTTATCGTCCTTTTGTAAGCAAAATTCACAGATATCGTGTACCTCGGCATCCTCGTCCTCCTCTCCCGCACAAGAACAGTGACCCTACTTTTTGTAGGAGACGCATGACAGCCATCCTTCTGTAGACTGAGAGTAGAAATGGTCACAATACAGACACGCAGTGCCATCTTCATCTGAAGTGCTTCCTTCTTCCTTTTTTTCTTTTTTTATCTCTTTTGGCAGATTAGTTATTGTTTTTTATGTTTTCCCCTTTTTTCTTTACGAATAAATAGCAATTTTTTAACATTTTTCTTAGGAGCATTCTTCACTTCTGCATTCTTTCCTTCTGCATGCTTTTCTTCTTGGTCCTTCTTTTTACCGAGCTTAACTTTATTTACACTCTCTAGAAGTTCTTTTATGTAAGGCGAACTAGTTACAACAACAGTTTTTCCTGTTGTGTGGAATGATTTCCGGATGTTTTTCTTTCTGACATGAGGAACAGGAACAATTTGTTCAGGAGAAACCGCAAAGGATCTTAGTTGATGATAGGTGTTGTTCTTGGGAGCTTGTTGGTTTGTGGTGTGGTTATTGGAGTTACTATCATTCCAATGTGAGCACCAAGGTTCAGCAAACGCATCTTGCTCTTTAGGTTCGGCTTGGTGCAAGAACCATCGTTTGTCTGTGGTATAACCTGCTTACGCGAGCCATTTGAAGCACTTCCTTGGTCACTATTGACAATAATGTTAGCGGCTTCATTTGTAATTAAAGGAATGTTTGTTGTGATAGAAGCTTTAAACACTGAATCTGGAAAGATATTTGGTTCGTCAGAGCAAATTCCAGTTTTTTTGAAACCATTTATCGCAGTCAATATAGTTGCAGCCCTGAGAAAGTCTTTGCCCAAAATCTCAACGATTTGAAATTAAGTAACAACTTTTCCTGGATTTGGTAGTAGCCAATTCCAACAGAGAATGACCACACCATTAGCCCTTGCTTTATCAATTATGGTCAGACTCTGTATATGAGTTGAATGACCATCCAACAATAGCAGGACTGGTTTCTCCTTGGTTGCTTAAGAAAATACGATGAATTTGTCGAACCACTTCTCAAAAATGTTTTTCTGCATCCAGCCAGAGACATGGCATTCTGCCCACATTCCAGGTGAACAATTGTTCAGCAATTCTGGTTTCATTCGCTGTCGAGGAGGCCGCTTGTTATTTCTAACTACTGCTAACTGGTATGCCAGCCGGTTTACCTCATTACAAGTCAAACCAAGCAAACGACCTTCCCACTGAGAACCCCGCCTTGCCCCCAGGGACAATTTTTAAGTTAGGTTAATATTATAGAACGAAGGATATATTCTATTAGGTTATTTCATGCATTAATTTATTCCTAAAAAAAACGCTTTATCTGATAATAATATTTAATAGTACGATAAAAAATTACTTCACTTACCTTTCACGTCTAAAAACAACGAAAAATTACATCAGCACAGGTGAAAAACACATTTTGATGGGTACACTCCGAATGGTTTGTTCGAAATGGCTGCAAGCTCTATCCGACACTCACACAGCACCAGCCTACTAGTCAACTATTTTCCACTAGGTTGCTACACCTACCGTAGCAGTAATTGCAAAAGCCCCGTCTTGCCCTCCACCCCGTTTTGCCCCGCTCTCCCCTATCATCAACAACGGCTTTTGAAAACTCGATTGAAATTGGTTGACAAAACCGCACAAAAGAGGGAACAGGAGTTTGCCACACTACCTTATCAGTTTCTTCGTCAATTAATCTGATAGGTACAAATGAAGCTATGAACAAATTAACATCAGATACAACATTAGACTCTTCAGGTAGTATTTGCTTGTATTCACTTTGTGCAGATGAGCCATCACTTACTATATAAAACTAAGTTTTGTAATCCAGACTTATATACTGACTCAATTAATAAAATTCTATTAATCATGCGATTTAATAAATCTTGTAAAGAAGTTACCTTTGCATATGTATTGCTAGAAACACGTGGATAACAGCTTTTTTTACTTTTCTGGATGTTGTGATAAGGTGGCAATAAAAAGCAGCTTTTCTCATTGGTTAGATTTTTAAGGTATAAATATTGTGCTTTAGTCAAATCTAAATCAATGTAAACGCTTAATGCTTCATATGCAGTCAATGGATGTGATTTATCATGGTGGATCTGTTTTAAAATTGCTTTCTTTTCATCAGGCTGCAAATCTCTTATAGTCTCCACTAAATTTGCTTGATCACTTTCTCCCATTTACCGTAATCCCTGAACTGTATATGCGATCAAATCCATATTCGTATAGCAATGTGGTATTTTTTGGTCTCTTACTAGATGTTGCAGAATCTTCGTAAGGTAGACACGGTGTTCCTCTCATTGCGTTAGATGTAGATGGAACCAACAGATTTGTCGCATTCTTCATTTAGGACAGATAAAGATACAATATACTCCTGGTTTAACCAATCATGGTTTTTCGCAAAAAAAATCTTCTTTGTACGTGATGCTTCTGTCCAACGCAATTTTATCGCAGTAATCACATTTCTTTTGAAATGATTAATTATTAACTGTATGTTACATATTGCGCTGAATAACTTGAAAAGCATGCTTACAAATGAATTGGTGTTTTATATTTAAATAAAAATGTACTAAGGATATAACTTTTGTGGACACGCTGTATAGCATTGTTTCGTCCGATTTTCCGAAAATGGATTATATTATCGTGATGTTATTATTCTGTATGCCAAGTTTAAGCTACCTAACCTAAGAAAAACCATATTGCATTTTAGCTATGTACGTCGTCAGTAAACCAGACGCTTATAAGTAACACTTCCGTATGTGACTTGGACTCTTTTAGTTTTCTGGTCATAACTTCTAAATAGGCAAAAGTTATCAGCTAATTTTTTTATATGTTTTAAAGAAGATTTCTCATATTATGTTTATTTCTAACTCCTGGGCAGTTACATAAAACTTAGATATACAATACATTTCTTAACATAACTTCTAAACCTACATAAATATGTATCTCAATAAATGCAAACGTCATCTTGACAGATCTGTCAAACCCAATATTAATAAAATGATTTCCATAAAAGTTTGTATTTCCACAATTCTAATAAATATGTTTATCCAGCCAATTGTTTATACAAAATAGGAACATAATCGTCCCATTCCGCCTGATAGAAATTACCAGCAATAGGTTGACCCAACTGATATTTTTCAGCAAACTTTTTAATAGAAAATCCTCCTCTATTATCACCAGAATTATTTGTAAGTCTTGGTTCATCAAAATTTAATTTTCCATTTTGTTGGTAAATCAAAAAAACGTAACGATGTAACCCAGTTCCTTCTGGTGGTCCAGACCCTACATATTGAGATAACGTCTCTCCCTCGGAAATGTTACCTCCAGGAATGTTTCCAACTAACCAATGATGCCATTCGCGAAATTTCGGATCTGTGCGACTTGGAGCATCCGGATCCGTCAAACAAATTGTATATAATTCGCTATCATCGGCTGTCCATGCGACATTTGGAATGTCTTTTACTTGAGTGGGTGTTAAAACGTTTCCGAGATCAACATTTACACCACTAGGATAGCTGACTTTGCAGAGTTCTTTTGGTGTTTGATCGATAACATCCGGAACAATTTGAAGTTCTTCCATATTTTTAGTTGATGTAGGAATGTTTTATATGTAACTAATATTATTTTCATAAATTTTAAATTAATTACAGAAACCTATAATTATTTGTAAAATAAGTTGCCTATATTAAAATTTATTATGTTTTATTTTTTTAATTTAAATTTAAAATCTAATTTTAACATCTTTTTATATATAACCGACACGGATCTAAACTTCTTAGAAAACTAGATTTTTCCAGTTTCTTTAATGACTTTCTTAATTTGAACTCTTAGCAAAGTTTACTTATTTACATTTTTTATTTTTTACAATTAACACAAACCAAATTTCAAAAAATGAGATTTAATTGAGCTAACTTAAAAGAAAGATAAACAATATTGCAATCAATTTCGTTTAAAGATAATTGTGTTTAAAGTAGAGTAGTCTGTAAATATCAAGCTTAAACTGTAAACAGATAAAGAATATCAGCGTTGTGTAAAATTGTGAAGGTGACACATACAGAAATTCCCTCCACTTCGACTAATAAAATGAACATACACACTCTCTCAACGTGTATCACGTGCGTATCGCGTTTCGTATAGTCACGTTTCACGTTTTCATCACACTTTAAACGAGTAATTTATTAAACCTGTTCTTAAAAAGATTACAACACGATTTTTAATTGCAAGCTAATTTTAAATTGTAATGATTAAGACGAAAATTATTAAATAGTCTCAAGGTTAGATAATAAATTAATTATTGTTTCAATTATAGAAATATACAAAGTTAACAACCAATTATAAGATTTTACATGTACAGTACCGATTTCGATGAACAACATCTCATTCGAAATTTTAATTTGGCCAAAACGGAAGTGGAAAACCTGATTCAAAATCTCCAAAATGCCAAAACACTGCGAAGGTACACGAAAATAACACAACCATGACCTTTTTGAAGTGGACATAACTTCTAAACGATGTACTCGACTATCAAGATCTATACGTCATTAGATTCACCATAGTTTTTTCTACTAATATCAGAAAATTTTCAATCTCAATTCTTTCCCGTTAACCATGTACAGTCCTCAGAATGACACTGTGTTCGATTCGTTGTTTATACAGATATGGACACCCAAAATGTCTAGCCCACAAGGGATTCAGAACATTTTAGAAAAAAAGTTTTAGTACAAAAGTTGTAGCAAACTATATCTTAATAATATTGCTCTTTTACACTTTTGCTCTCAGATGCATAAAAATCGAAAAAAAATCGAACAGGATAAAATTAAATATGAAATTGGGGTTTTGCATCTTGTTGTTGGTAGAGCACACGATTCGGAACGTTTTAGGAAAAAAGTTTTAGTATAATAGTTGTAGCTAATTTTATTGTTAACAATATTGCTCTTTTGCACTTTTGCTCACAGAAGCATAAATATTGAGAAAAGTTTGAAAAGGTGAAAATTAGCTGAAATTGTGGTTTTAAATCTTATTGTTGGTAGAGCACGAGATTCGGAACGTTTTAGAAAAAAACTTTTAGTATAATAGTTGTAGCAAATTTTATTGTTAACAATATCGCTCTTTTACACTTTTGCTCTCAGAAGCATAAATATTGAGAAAAGTTTGAAAAGGTGAAAATTAGCTGAAATTGTGATTTTACATCTTATTGTTGGTAGAGCACGACATTCAGAACGCTTTAGAAAAAAACTTTTAGCATAATAGTTGTAGCAAAGTTTATTGTTATTAACATTGCTCTTTTACACTTTTGCTCTCAGAAGCATAAATATTGACAAAAGTTTGAAAAGATGAAAATTATCTGAAATTGTGGTTTTACGTCTTATTGTTGGTAGAGCACGAGATTCGGAACGTTTTAGAAACAAACTTTTAGCATAATAGTTGTAGCAAATTTTATTGTTAACAATATTGCTCTTTTACACTTTTGCTCTCAGAAGCACAAATATTGAGAAAAGTTTGAAAAAGTGAAAATTAGCTGAAATTGTTGTTTTACATCTTATTGTTGGTAGAGTACGAGATTCGGAACGTTTTAGAAAAAAACTTTTAGTATAAAAGTTGTAGCAAATTTTATTGTTAACAATATGGCTCTTTTACAGTTTTCCGCTCAGATGTATAAATATCGAGAAAAATTAGAATAGGTGAAAATTAGATGAAATCGTGGTTTTGCATCTTGTTTTTGACAGAATTCGAGATTCGAAACATTTTAAACAAAAGTTTTAGTACAAAAGTTATAGCAAATTTTATTGTTAACAATATTGCTCTTTTACACTTTTGCTCTCAGAAGCATAAATATTGAGAAAAGTTTGAAAAAGTGAAAATTAGCTGAAATTGTGGTTTAACATCTTATTGTTGGTAAAGCACGAGATTCGGAACGTTTTAGAAAAAAACTCTTAGTATAATAGTTGTAGCAAATTTTATTGTTAACAATATTGCTCTTTTACACTTTTGCTCTCAGAAGCATAAATATTGAGAAAAGTTTGAAAAAGTGAAAATTAGCTGAAATTGTGGTTTAACATCTTATTGTTGGTAAAGCACGAGATTCGGAACGTTTTAGAAAAAAACTCTTAGTATAATAGTTGTAGCAAATTTTATTGTTAACAATATTGCTCTTTTACACTTTTGCTCTCAGAAGCATAAATATTGAGAAAAGTTTGAAAAAGTGAAAATTAGCTGAAATTGTGGTTTAACATCTTATTGTTGGTAAAGCACGAGATTCGGAACGTTTTAGAAAAAAACTCTTAGTATAATAGTTGTAGCAAATTTTATTGTTAACAATATTGCTCTTTTACACTTTTGCTCTCAGAAGCATAAATATTGAGAAAAGTTTGAAAAAGTGAAAATTAGCTGAAATTGTGGTTTAACATCTTATTGTTGGTAAAGCACCAGATTCGGAACGTTTTAGAAAAAAACTTTTAGTATAATAGTTGTAGCAAATTTTATTGTTAACAACATTGCTCTTTTACACTTTTGCTCTTAGAAGCATAAATATTGAGAAAAGTTTGAAAAGGTGAAAATTAGATGAAATCGTGCTTGTACATCCTATTGTTGGTAAAGCACGAGATTCGGAACGTTTTAGAAAAGAAGTTTTAGTATAGAAGTTGTAGTAAATTTTATTCTTAACAATAATGCCCTTTTACACTTTTGCTCTCACATTCATAAATATCGAGAAAAATTCCAATATTGTCGTATTGACCAAAGATTAAGCACTCAAATGACTTATTGTTCATCAAAATCGGTTGAGAGGTTTTCTTATTTTAATCATAATACTATACATGTAAAATCCTATGTAATTGGGAACTATCTTCGCACAGATTCTTTTTAGAATATTTATTATTAAAAGTGATTACAACCAAAATGAATCTTTAAGACAGTTTTTTTTAGATATAATCATACTCAGAAATGAACTATTTAACTGAGTCACCTTGTATAATAATGTTGATCAATGTAATTTAGCGTAGTTATGTAATTTACGTTGTGACAAATTCACTGCCTGTTTTTGCTGTTATTTTTTTGAGTTTCATTCAGCGAATGATTGCGCAACATTTCGCTATTGTTGAATTAAAATACGAGCGGAAACTCATTGTATTTAATATAATTAACTGTAAATTAATCTTTTATATGAGTAATTAATCATTTTAACGTTTCCCACACTTGATGTGTTTGATAAGAATTATCGCGTACTTTGAAGATTTGTTATTTCGTTATTTACAACGTTTAAAACATTTTTGGTTCTAAATTTACGTTTAAATGAAAAAACTCATTGTATACTTTTATGATGGTGACAATAAAATTTTATTGACGTTAATCGTTTCTTAATACTTTTATTACTTTTTAATGTTAACCGTTTTTTTTTTTTATTTATAGTCAAGATTTTTTTAATTTCGCAATTTTATGGTTATCTTAAATACTTTAAAAATAGAAAAAAATCAACAAGGATGTAAACTATCAGTAAAGTTATAAATCTTTTACTTTTTCTATAATCATCCAATCCATAAGATACGTAATATTTAAAACAATTTAATCGTTTTTAGTCATCAAAATAATTCATTCGAGAACTCATAAATAAAATAATTACTACGAGGTTAACAGTTCACGTGTTCATAGGTCAATGTCGTGGCCATTACGGCTACTTTAAACACTTCTTAAAAACAAGATTACGTTAAAAGCTAAGTCGAACATTGGAATTTTTCGCGGTATTTATTATCATGCAAATTCAATTTTATATCTTCACAACAATCCCGAGAGTAAACTGTGAAAGGATGGGTACGAGAAGGTTTGCAGGTGAACCTCCTCTTCGTTACAAAACATCTATAACTGATGTTTTAGATGCACTTTATGAGAATGCTGTTATTAAGATATTGTAAACATTAAGAACCTTGACTTTATACGAACTAAGAAATATCATCAAGTGCGGTACTTCCTAATTTTTAGAGTGATCTAATAACAATTAAAAAAATGGGTCGTCGAGCACTGGTATCAAAACATTTCAAAAATGGGAGGGGGGGAAATTACCAAACTGGACAACAAAACAGCACATTATAGAAAGATTTGTGCGATTGATTATTCGGAAAATCAAGGCTAATCCAACGTTATCTGCTCTAAAATTGGCTGTAGAGATCCAAGAAGAGTTAGGAAAATCTTGCAGTGCTGCAACTGTTCGGCGAGTACTTCGCCAACATAATTTAAGAAGCCCTTTACAAATAAAAAAATCAGGTAAGTCGGCTTAACTTTACAAAGGAACATATTTCGAAGAGCCTAGAGTTTTGGAATGAGGTAATTTTTGTCGACGAGTCATAGTTTAACATTTTTGGCTCAAACAGTTTGTCCTATGTATGGCGCAAACCAAATACAGAACTAAAAAAGGAGGAATTTAAAAGCTACAGTTAAGCATGGTGGTGGAAACGTGACGGTTTTGGCCTACATGTCTGCTATCGTAGGAAATTTAGTGTTTATTGACGGAATTATGGATAAAAACGTACCTTCAAATTCTACAGCAAAATTTGGTCCAAAGTGCTGAACGCCTAGGACAATGATCCAAAACTCAAATCAGGAATCGTACAGTCGTGGCTTATT